AACTACTTTTATTTGTTTATTTTACTATAAAATTTACCTTTATAGTTAAAATTTTTAGATTTCTTAATATATTAAATTATTAGTAGTTATATTTATAATTTACAATATTTAGTAGTATAGTTCATTAGTTATCTAATATTCATCATAAATAAGATAAAGAATATGATTATTAATTAGTAGAGTAATGTTCTTTTTAGTAAGATGAATGTGTTTTTTTTTTTTTTTTTTTTTTTTTTGGGTTTATAGGTTTTGGTTTTAATATGCAAATAAAAGTGAATGTTGAGTAAAGGGTAAGGGGTACTGATCAAATAGCTTACTATTTCAACTTATATGAAATGTTTCATCATGTTAACTGAAACTTGAGTCATGAATTTTTCATCTATGCATCATAGAGAGTATAATACAAAAAATAATTAAATATTATCTTTTACAATGATAGAATTGAAGATAAAGACGATAGAACACTTGAAGTTAAAATTTTCAAAATCAAACTACAAAAAGAAGTTATGTCATATAAAATGAAATTTTATTATTATTGTATGTAAAATTTAAATATAACTTATAGTGATAAATTTGTATTACATTTTGTTAAAAGAGATTTTTTATTTTTAATTATATTTGATAAAACTAAAACGGTTGAGTTAAACTCAATATAACTAATAGAATTTAAGAAAATAAGTTGATTAAAAAGAGAAAATGACATAACGTTAACTTTATTTATTTGTATGAGAACCACTGGTTTACTTGGTCCCACATGATTTTGTATGTATTTTAGATAACTTTTTATATATCTATTTAGTTTTGGATAAGAATTTAAAAATTGTAATTAATTAACTAAATTATAGTAAGTACAAACTCAAATAATTTGTAACTTACTACTGACAAGACTTATTATTGAAAAGGTAGTTTTCTTTTGCTTGTTAATGTGTGCAAGTTGGTTGATGTATTTTCTTTTGAGATGTTTGTTAATGAAAAGACATGCTAGCTTTCCATGTGACAAAATTGTTGGATATAGCTGACATTTCATACTGAATTTTCCTCTACCATGTAAAGCCTAGAGATTCCCAGAACAAAAGGAATCAACTTTTGGTGGCCGTAATTTCTTTTTCGTGGACAAACAAATTTCGGACAGCCAATACCTAAAGAGATCTAACAAATCCTGCTCAATTTATGAGAAAAACATGCGACTGTTTTTTTTTTTTTTTTAATGAAATATCAATAGACAATTTAAAGCAGGCATCAACGGATGCCCTTTAATTTTAAGAATTTCTATTACGTATTAACTAGAAGCACCATGCATTTCCAAGTAAAATTGATACATAATAAGTTAGTATTATAATATTACATAACTGCATTTTATAATAATCTAATGCAATTATCACCTTGTTTTTCATTAAGACTTTTCTCTTTCTCGGCAATACTTTCTGGCAAGGGATGATGTCAAAAGTTACTTATATCTACAATAATTGAATGTCACTATAGTGTCTCTGTTAATGCTTATGGGTCAAATTTCTCTTCTTTTTGGATTTAAGAAGAGCTTGAGATTCTGGAATCTCTTTTTAGTTGTGGTTTTGTGGACCTGAATACGACTAGAAATCTTGTGAGCTCTTTGGAGGAATTAAAATGACGATGGGTAATAAATTATTGGAAAAGGGTCACAAGATCAAAATGCCAAAAGACTATATCCCAAATATTTCAAAGTCAACCAAACCGGTCGACAGGTAGAATTTTAGTTATGTTCTTTGATCGAGCCTCGAAATGATTAAACCAACCCACCTACTCAGCGAACATCTCGTAGCAAGACAAAATGAATTATTTATCAATAATTTACTTTATAAAATCGCATCCAAAATAACCTAATTCTAGATTTTTTTTCCTTCTGAGTTTATGATTTCTGATAAAAACTCTCACTTTTTTAAGAAAATCTTTCCCCAAACTCCTCAAAAATATCTTATAATATGATCTCGTAGATCGTTTCCTTGCTAAATGTATTTCGTTCGAATTCATTACCATGTATCAGTTAGGTTCATGCATAGCCATATATATAATTAGGTGAAGTTACATTATATAAATGTATCAATCCATGTGCAGAGGTACATACGTACATCTTTGTGCCAATGAGCGGAAAAAAAGTAAGTGGGCTCAACCACGTGCCATATCGATAAGGCTTAGCTCTCCCTTTGCTTTTTTGCTTTCTCCATGGACAAATGTGTTTGTTTGCTAGCGATACACGGAGAGACGTTGATTGATATGGGGAGCGAGAGCAGAGATAAATAAATTAGAGATTATAGACCAATCCAAACACTGCAAACCACACTAATATAACCCGTTGGTATCACTTTAGTACTCTCACTACTCCAATATGGAGTCTTCAGCCGATGATAGCAATAACGTGCATCGCAGTGCTGATGAATGTTTAGAAATAGCCATGGAGGTACACAAAGTTGTGCCACCGCCCCACAAGAGCACCGTAGCCAAAATCAAGTCCCGGCTTAAAGAAACCTTCTTCCCTGATGACCCTCTGCGCCAATTCAAAGGGCAACCACTGAAGAAGAAATGGATTCTTGCAGCTCAGTATGTATTCCCTATTCTTCAATGGGGTCCTAATTACAGCTTTGAACTCTTCAAATCTGATATTGTTTCCGGCCTCACAATTGCTAGCTTGGCCATTCCTCAGGTAAAAACACACACACACACACACACAAACATGCACAAGAGCCTTCACGTCATTTGCTTTTCTTTTTTCCGGGTTTGTCTTCATATATTATATATCAGATATCATGTATATATATATATATATTCTTTCTTCAGGGAATAAGCTACGCGAAACTTGCAAGTCTACCACCCATTGTGGGTCTTTGTAAGTACATGTATTGTTTGTTGTGTTTGCTGATCGAGTTGTTTGTTGGGTTTGATTAATTTACTTTTGTGGGTAGATTCAAGCTTTGTACCTCCTTTAGTATATTCTGCACTCGGGAGCTCAAGGGACCTTGCAGTAGGGCCTGTGTCTATAGCTTCTCTTATATTGGGATCAATGCTTAGACAAGAAGTGTCCCCCACCCAGGATTCTACCTTGTTCCTTCAGCTTGCTCTCACTTCGACCTTCTTTGCTGGTCTTTTCCAGGCTTCTCTTGGATTATTAAGGTTAATATTCTTCCTCTACAATGATTACTTGCTTCTAATTTGGTGGTCTATATAATATACCTCAGACAAGATATAAGTAGAGATGATTAATTATGTGGTTGTTGGTGCAGGCTTGGGTTTATCATAGATTTTCTTTCAAAAGCTACTCTTATTGGATTCATGGCTGGAGCAGCTATCATAGTGTCTCTTCAGCAACTCAAAGCCCTCCTTGGAATCACTCACTTCACCACACAAATGGGGTTGGTTCCTGTTCTGAGCTCTGTCTTTCACAACACGAAGGAGGTAATTGATTAATCGTTTTGTTTACGACATATTTAATTCTCGTTGTTTCTACTAATTACAGTTAATTTTTTTTGCAGTGGGCATGGCAAACGATACTCATGGGATTTTGCTTCCTGGTGTTTCTGCTATTGGCAAGACACGTTGTATGTTACTCCTTTTTGCTTTCATCACTTACGTACCATCCGGTACCGCTTTTTCTTCTGTTGTTAAAGAGAAAAAAACCTCAATTGTCTGGAAGATTTTAGCCAGCCATTCTCCTTTTTGCTTTCGTCACTTACGTTACGTACCATCCAGTACTGCGTTTCTTCTTCTCTTGTTAAAAAAAGAAAAAAAGAAACTTCAATAATCGCTGTTGGAAGATTATAGCCAGCCATTATATTTACTAGTAAAAGTATCCCTCACCTCTGGATAGCCCACCTATTTGGTTTACTTTTAGCCATACCCTGCATCTGTCTGTGTGAACATCACATGTCATGCATTGCCGTCGTACATGGCCCTCCTGGACCTACTAATTTGGAATGCCCGTGTTTTTATGAGCTCGAGTGCACCATTTATTATTCTCCACTTTATTCTTATTTTTATTGACTTTCACAATATAACTCGATTTTCTTTATTTTTATTTAATTTTTGTTTACCACGTTGGGTCTTCCCGACTTGTGCTTAATTGTTAAGCCTATAAAATACAAAAAAAAAAAAAAAAAATCTCCCAAAACTATGTTAAATGGTACCAGGAGTTAACATTTGTGTTATATGGCATGCAGAGCATGAGAAAACCAAGGCTTTTCTGGGTATCAGCAGGAGCTCCACTTGTGTCTGTCATCCTCGCCACCCTGCTGGTTTTTGCATTTAAGGCTCAACATCATGGCATAAGTATTGTAAGTTGTATGGATCTTTCATTTAACCTCTCTTTTATGACTCTGATCTAATAATTACTTGTTACTTACTGACATTGAAAAATAAATAAATAAACAAGATTGGGAAATTACAAGAAGGACTGAATCCTCCATCGTGGAACATGTTGCAATTTCGAGGTAGTCATCTGGGACTTGTCGTGAAAACTGGGATTATCACTGGGATTATTTCGCTCACTGTGAGTTGTTCTATATTTTTTCCTTCCGTCCTCTATTCTTGAAGATGTTACATGTAATGTCCTAATTGATGACCAAAGAATTGGCATTTAGAGGCAGTTTAGGAGGACGAATATTAAGTTTATATTTTAAGTATTCACAACTGAAACAGGAAGGAATTGCAGTGGGGAGGACATTTGCAAGTTTGAAAAAGTACCAAGTTGATGGTAACAAAGAGATGATGGCAATTGGTGTGATGAACGTGATCGGGTCGTCCACTTCCTGTTATGTTACGACAGGTACATATCTTGATTAGTTAGATGTTAGAAAAAGATGATGAATTAATTTATTTAATCTAATTTGCAGGAGCATTTTCAAGGTCTGCTGTGAACCACAATGCAGGAGCCAAAACAGCTGTTTCTAATATAGTGATGTCAGTGACAGTGATGGTCACTCTCCTATTCCTCATGCCTCTATTCCAATACACCCCAAATGTTGTATTAGGCGCTATCATTGTCACTGCAGTGGTCGGGCTTATTGACATCCCCGCTGCTTACCACATCTGGAAGATTGACAAATTTGATTTTCTTATCATGCTCTCTGCTTTCTTAGGAGTCATTTTCATCTCTGTCCAGGATGGTCTTGCCATTGCAGTAATCTCACTTTTTTCTTTCAACTTCAATTCGAAAATCACTATACTACAAGACCAATATTGAATTACTAATGTAATCAGGTTGGTATATCCATTTTCAAGCTTCTCCTGCAAATTGCTAGGCCAAAAATAGTCATGCTTGGGAACATACCGGGGACAGATATTTATCGCAACCTTCATCATTATAAGGAAGCCATTACGATCCCTGGTTTCCTCATTTTGAGCATTCAGTCTCCAATAAATTTTGCAAACTCCACATATCTCACTGAAAGGTAATTACCTCAAAATCTGCATGCACCAATTATCGATCACTAAATCTGGTTGCTTTCTTCCTTGTATTATATAGGATTTCCAGGTGGATACAAGACTATGAGGCCGACCAAGATTTGAAAAAGAACTCCACCTTGAAGTTTCTTGTTCTGGACATGTCAGGTCAGATCATCACTGTATACTAAACTATTTCCAATATATGGAACTTCTTTTATATTCACAAACACTGACAAAAAAGAAAAGGCTTGTCATATCAGCTGCGAGCGCCATAGACACAAATGGTGTGTCCTTCTTTGGAGAGTTGAGAAAAGCAATGGAAAAGAAGGGTGTGGAGGCAAGTAACACTAACACATATATACTTCCATTGCTTAATTACTTGTTGTCGGCCAATCTCATAAATTGATAATGTCATAACGACAGGTTGTGCTGGTGAACCCTCTGGGTGAAGTGATTGAAAAATTGCAGAGCTCAAACGAGGCCCACAATTTCATGAGGCCAGATTCCCTTTTCTTGACACTTGGAGAGGCAGTTGCTTCGCTTTCATTACCAATCAAACCTCACTCATCCATCAACAACTGAGCATGAAGAACTCCACCTTGTATTTCAAAACA